CTTTTTGGATCTGAATGAAAATCTCATGGCTTTTTTCTTTTCCTCATGTATTTAGGATTGTTGAGTCAATCTGTTCTGAAGTAGAAATCAGCATACAACAGAAGGAATTTTTGAATGAATTTCGGATGGGTGGGTTGCCTTCACTTAGTAATAAGTTGGAGAAATTTTTAAGAATCTTGGGGGTAATGCTCTTTCTTGTTGGTTTCCTTATCATTACTGATAAGCAAGTGGTTCTTACTTAAAGCTTTTATGAATATTATAATTTTTAAGGCTTAAAAAAACTTGGTTTTCTGTGATTGCAGCAGCAGCAGCTTACTGAAAATGATGATGCTGCGGCACACAAATCTCAGATAATCAATATTCTCCAAGATACAATAGAAATTATCACGAAGGATGTTATGGTCAATGGCCACGAGTCAGTGTTAAAATCCAATATCCTCATGGAACTTTATTGTATTGCTACTGCCTATTTAACCATAATTAATGTGTACCATGGCATTTGACTTTCATTTTGTAGCATCTTTGAAAAATCTCACCAACATAGTCAAGATGTTCTAAATATCAAGAAAGAGCAGAGGTTTGAGAAGATAAATCTTGGCCTTACACGCAACAAATCATGGAAGGAAAAGGTAGTGTTGCACATGGACTTATTTCATTTCTTCCCAACATAACACAGCTATTATGTGCAAATTTTATGTTCTTAATTCATCCTACATTTTCTTTTAGATTGTTAGGTTGTTTTTGCTTTTGACTGAGAAAGAATCAGCCATAAATGTGCCTACAAATTTGGAGGCTCGGCGGCGCATTACTTTCTTTGCGAACTCCCTGTTTATGAATATGCCATGTGCACCCAAAATCCGTGACATGCTCTCCTTTAGGTGAGTCATTGTCGAAACCAGTGTTAAAGTAGGTTGCTTTGTGAAACTGATTTCATTTTTCTTCCATTTTTCTTTGTTTGGGGTAGGGCAAGGTCAATCATACTTGTAATGTTTATGATATGCCTTACCAAAGAACCACTCAAACTACCATTTGGTTGCATTGGTTGGGCCAGATGTAAAGATTTACCACATAGAAACAGCATTCAAGACAACTTTTTAACTAAAATTATCTTTTAACTAGTTATGTGTTACTGTAATATGCATCATGAATGGCAGTAACTTCCTATCTGCAAACTATTTCTAGATAGCTGTCTATCAGACTCACTTCATACTGCTGACACTTTATCTTTTAGTATTTTGACTCCGTATTACAAGGAAGATGTTCTTTATTCTGACGAAGAACTGAACAAGGAAAATGAGGATGGGATATCAATTTTGTTTTACCTACAGAAGATATATCCGGGTAACCTCCTATCCTTTTCTGCATGATGCTTTTTTCGTATTTGAAGTAGATATGAAATTATTTAGTGTCTGTGACTGAAAATTAGATGAATGGACCAACTGCATTGAGCGCCTGAGTGAGAACAAGGATGAAATGAAAGATGAGGAACTTCGAAAGTGGGTATCATACAGAGGACAGACACTGTCTAGAACAGGTATTGCATGATAAACATATCAGCTTATTCCATCCTTGTCTGTCAATCAATACTGAGTCTATACCATTTTATCTTTATTTTTCTTCCAGTGCGAGGGATGATGTACCACAGGATGGCTTTACGACTTCAGTACTTCCTGGAATTTTCAGGAGATGATGGTTTGTGTTTCAGTATCTTCTCTATTTATTCTAACATCTTCAAGAGGTATAGTGCCAAGTGGGATAAAGAAGTATTTTCTGTTTCATTGCAGCTATTTTTAATGGCTATCGGACTTGGGAATCGAGTGTGGGCCAACAAAAGGCTGAAGCTCTGGCCAGTTTGAAGTTCACTTATGTTGTTTCTTGTCAGCTCTATGGAACTCAGAAAAAATCATCTGATGCTAGAGACCAGAGTTGCTACACTAATATTCTAAAACTCATGATAACGTAAATATATGATACTTTACAAAATCATCTCGTACTTCTCCATGCACTTCAAATTGCTAATGTCTCTTTAAATATTTTTGAACTGTATAGATATCCATCTCTACGTGTCGCTTATATTGATGAAAGAGAGGAGACAGTGAATGGAAGACCTCAGAAGGCTTATTTCTCTGTGCTTGTCAAGGGAGGTGAGAGGTTAGATGAGGTATGAAAGAGTACAGCTTACTGCAAAATATAGCAGCTGCTTATAAAAATAATTTGTTAGGGAAATGCACTTATATCATCCAGATTCATTTGTTTTCCAAATGCATTTAAAGTTTTGGCATGCATTACTAAATTTTTATAGGCATGTTCTTTTAAAAACCTTACAATTTTTGTTGTCTAGTAATAAGTAATAAGAATAACACTCACTGGGCTAATGCATATATGAAGTGTTGAAGATGGGTTAGTTGATCTACAAGAAAATATTGGTTACATAGCTTAAAACCAACAGGAGCTTAGCTGAGTTGGAAGCTGCTACCCTTAAAACCATGATTCTACCGTCAAGGTCAGGGCTTTACCTAGAAATTAAATAAATTGAAGATGAGATTGGTTTTGGTTTTATGAAGTCAACTTCAATTGTCAAGATGAAATGAAGGCTCTATTAAGTAGAGAACATTTCTGGATTCAGGTTATCTTCAAAACAGAAAGGTAGGTTAATCAAGACTGAACTTGTACCAGAAAGGAAATGGTTTTATATGCTAGGGCCCTGGCCATCTTCTTCATTGTGATGGAGATTTCCAAAGAAAATCTGTAGATTAAATTCACCAAATTTGATCAATGATGAAAATTTTCTATTTTCCAGTTTCACTGCTCTCTCTTATTACCATAAGCTTAATGTATTCTCAGTTGGATTGATGTCATATTGCCAGGAAATATACCGCATCAAGCTTCCAGGTCCTCCAACAGAAATTGGTGAAGGGAAGCCTGAAAATCAAAATCATGCAATTATTTTTACTCGTGGAGAAGCTCTGCAGACCATAGACATGAATCAGGTAGCTTTTCCTCATATCTTCTTTGAAGAAGCATTAAGTATCACTCACTGTTTTTTGTTGTGTCTGGCTTTCAGGATAATTACTTTGAAGAGGCTTACAAAATGAGAAATGTTCTAGAGGAATTAATAAAACATCGTCGTAAGGAGAGAAAACCAACAATATTGGGTCTAAGGGAGCATATTTTTACTGGAAGGTAAGCCAAACACACACCTTTGTGAGCTCAATTGCATTTTGTTCAGTGTAATTCCTGGTGTCAAGCTTGTTAAATACGATGTGTTTCTCAGAACATGTTGTTGGATTAATTTATGCTTTATTTCTTTCCATCTACTTGCAGTGTTTCTTCACTAGCTTGGTTCATGTCCAATCAAGAGACTAGTTTTGTAACTATTGGGCAAAGGGTTTTGGCAACTCCTCTGAGGTAAGCCTGAATTAGTGAATGATTGAATCATACCTATGGCTATGTTATTGATGTAAATTATTAACAACTACATTAACTTCATCCTGTTAAATAAAGGAGCTAAAATGCTTATAGTTATTAATGATAGCTGGACGTAATAGATAATATAATTTAAGGAGGCTACAACAACCTTATTACGCCACTAACGTTATGGAAGTGGAGGGAAATAATGTTGCCAAAAAAAGGAAGAAAAGAAAAAATGAAAAAAAAAACACCTGGACTGCCTACTGTTATAGAAGATCTATAGGATGATTGCAAGATGTTACCACCAATTAACACATATATTCAAAATATAATGTTTCATTAGGAAACTGTTTGCATTCTAATGAGTCCACGTTTTCTGTTTCTTCTTTAATGATATCATATCATTTTCTTTGTTTGGTCTTATCCAAATCCAATAATTATAATATATCAACAATTTTTTAGAACCTAAATCCACAGTTCTGAATGTTCACCCTCATTTTGAGCTTTTATATTTCTGTTACATCATCTAATGTACCTACAATTTTGCAGGACTCCAAAATTTTAGCTCTCCACATTTTTCCCCTCTTCTTCGGCTGTCTTTATGTTCCACTATCATTTTTCACTAACAGTTCATCTCTATGTTGACAGGGTAAGGTTTCATTATGGCCACCCTGATATATTTGACAGAATCTTCCACATAACGAGGGGTGGTATAAGCAAAGCTTCAAAGATTATTAATTTGAGCGAGGATATATTTGCAGGTAATCTTTAGTCATTAGAATATACTAACTGAAAGGTATTGTCTGTTTGTTGATTGGGCTTTACTTGTTCAGGGTTCAATTCAACATTGCGAGGGGGCTGTATTACTCATCATGAGTACATTCAAGTCGGAAAAGGGCGTGATGTTGGAATGAATCAGATATCTGCTTTTGAGGCAAAGGTTTCAAATGGGAATGGGGAGCAGACACTTAGCCGGGATGTTTATCGTCTTGGACGTCGGTTTGATTTCTATAGAATGTTATCATTCTACTTCACAACAGTCGGCTTCTACTTTAGCAGCATGGTATGTTAACTAACTTGTTTAATTTTATGGGTCTTGAGATGTTGTAGAGTATTGCAATTTTTGTCATCCATGATAATGACAGGACTGCTTGTTCAAGTTTAGGTCACCTAAGTGAAATCTTGTTATCAGTTTAGTTTCACAATTCCTTCATTCTTGTTAAAAAGATTACGGGGATCAGTGTAGTTATTTTTTAGGCCATGGGGGATCAGTTTTGTTTATTAGAACGATTTTGTTGCCTTAATTGTTGATTAAATAGTGGCTTTTACAGTATGCATTTTAGGAGGGAAGGAACTAATCAGTAGTCATCCTAAATTGAACTAAATTTTTAACCTTACAGCACTAATATACTATGTCAAGAGGACAAAAATACTAAGTCAATAGTCACTTCGTGATGGCGTAGGGACCATCCTTGAATTCTCCATAATCTTGTTTCAGGTTACTGTGCTTATTGTCTATGTATTTTTATATGGACGTCTGTACATGGTTATGAGTGGATTGGAAGGAGAGATTCTCCAGAGTCCAGGCATACATCAGAGCAAGGCCCTTGAAGAGGCTTTGGCTACCCAGTCTATCTTCCAGCTAGGCTTGTTGCTGGTGCTGCCCATGGTCATGGAAATTGGCCTTGAAAAAGGCTTCCGTACTGCTCTGGGGGACTTCATTATTATGCAGCTACAGCTGGCTTCTGTATTCTTTACATTCCAGCTTGGAACAAAAGCACATTATTATGGACGAACTATCTTGCATGGAGGCTCCAAATATCGAGCTACTGGTCGTGGGTTTGTGGTATTTCATGCAAAATTTGCTGATAACTACAGACTGTACTCACGGAGTCACTTTGTGAAGGGTTTGGAGCTACTTATACTATTGGTCTTGTATGAAGTTTATGGGGAATCATATCGTAGTTCCAGCCTCTATTTGTTTGTCACATGGTCAATGTGGTTCCTTGTTGCTTCATGGCTGTTTGCTCCTTTTATATTTAATCCATCGGGTTTTGACTGGCAAAAAACAGTTGATGATTGGACAGATTGGAAGAGGTGGATGGGCAATCGTGGAGGCATTGGGATCCATCCTGATAAAAGTTGGGAATCATGGTGGGATGGAGAGCAAGAACACCTCAAATGCACAAACATAATTGGAAGGGTGCTTGAGATTATTCTAGCATTCCGCTTCTTTATTTTCCAGTATGGAATTGTCTACCACCTGGATATAGCTCATCGCAGTAAAAACATTCTGGTACTTGGTTTTTTTAGTGACAAAATACTTGCCTTTTTTACTGATTTTAGGCTAATGTTACCTTCAGGTTTCTGCTTAAAGTTTCTGGTACTTTTGTAGTACTTCTAACTTGTTTTTTATGTAGGTTTATCTACTGTCTTGGCTGGTTATGGTAACTGCTCTTCTAGTTTTGAAGGTATGCAAATGATACTCCCTACATGAAGTAAACAAATTTCCCAAACTCTGACATGAAATGTTTAAATTGCTTTAAAGAATGTTTGTTGAAGTGAATAACTGCCCTTTTGTTTCTCAGTCTTCTCGGTCTTTTGTGTTTGTCTAAAATATTTAGAGTGGCCTGCATGTTCATTTGTTCTATTTCTGCATATATGTTTTCCACTTGTTGCTGCCAGATGGTATCTATGGGTAGGCGAAGATTTGGCACTGATTTTCAGCTGATGTTCAGAATTCTCAAGGCACTTCTTTTCCTCGGTTTCTTGTCAGTCATGACTGTTCTATTTGTTGTCTGTGGCCTCACTCTGTCAGATGTATTTGCTGCCGTCCTTGCTTTCTTGCCTACGGGATGGGCCATTATTCTTGTAAGTCAACTTCTACTGATTCTAGTAAGAACTACATTCTTTGTCTAGTTTTTAAATTAACCAGACATATACCTGTTGTACTGTTCTTGAAATTGGCTGAGGTTGACAACCATAAGTTACAATAATTAATAAACATTCATGGCATCTAAGTGAAGAATAAATGCTAAAAGCTTATAGAATCGGATATAATGAATTAATTTAATATGGGCTAATTCAATATTTACAACCTCTTGTTCTATTTTGCATTGGAGAGATTCACCCACACGTCAGGGATAATGACCATTTTGTTTCTCTAATCTTTAGGCTTAATTTTAATGTTATGTCGGCTAATATATATTTTCAACCTCATTGAATTTCATTTTCTGTTGTTGTTTGAAGATTGGCCAAGCTTCGAGACCGATGGTGAAGGGATTAGGATTTTGGGAGTCAATCAAGGAGCTGGCAAGGGCATACGAGTACATTATGGGACTTATACTGTTCGCGCCAATAGCCATCCTGTCATGGTTCCCGTTCGTTTCAGAATTCCAAACACGCTTGCTCTTCAACCAAGCTTTCAGTAGAGGCCTCCAGATTTCTATGATTATTGCAGGGAGGAAAGATCATACATCAACCAAATGATGTTCGTGTTAGAATTAGTTTGAAATGGTGTTAGAACATGCATATGTCCTAGATCTAGGAGGAATAAAAAAAATAAAGGAATTTATATATGATTACCCTTTACTCAATGATAAATAGTTTTAACTGGCCGGGTACGATGGTATTTAATATCCCAAGCAGTGATGCCTGATTCAAGTGCAGTGTATCTGTAGGACATACTGATACTGATTTTTGTTAGGAGGCTTGTGAAATGGAATTGAAACATACATGCTTGTAAACTTATAACATTAATTAGGGATTTATTTATATACAAGTTTTTTATGTCATATTTATACAAAATTTTAAGCATTTAACTTGTTATTTTTAATAGTTTAAATTTATTTATATTTATTAAAAATAATTATTTAAAAAAAATCATAATAAATTTT